GGCAGCGGAGGGGGGTACTGATCGGCATCCCATACACTTGATCCGCCGACTCTACAGATCGCTTGTATGATAACAGGCATCGCTGCCTGTTTTTAAATATCGGTCATTTCCCGCTTGCCGAGCGGCGCGCGCAAGGGGGCGTGTCTGAGGGGATGTCTAAAGATCATTCTAATGGAAAGTAACGGTGCCCATACACTGTGTGAATTTCGTCCGGCATCTCAGAATAGAGTTTAAACAGTGGGGATTCCTAGATAGATGCACTCGTATTAGTATCTGCTCTATTTTTTTTTGTTCAGCCCGCAGGTTGAACTAGAAAAATAGAGCAGTGTACGGCCACCCTCAGCAACCAAGACTAAGTTTTTTCCCTTTAACCCTTTTGCTGCCAGGGCATTTTTTTGCATCTTCTGCACACATTTTATGATCCACATTTTAGGTGACTGAAAATTACTTAAAACCTCCAAACAGTTAAATATACATAGATATAGATATAGATATAGATATTCTGAAAGCAAAGAATAAAAGGGTGGCAGTTGTATATTTTTATGCTGCACAGTATTAGCGCAACTTTTCATCAAACCAAACATTTTAGTAAAAAATACGCTCAAGTTAAAAACACAAAATAATACCCAATTTTTTGTAAAATATAAAAGATGAGCTTGTGACCAACAGATACCCAACAAGCCCAGGTTAAAAATTCTGTGCAGCCGTAGAATGGCGAAACATACCGTACCCCAAATTGTCCATAGGCAGCACGATAAAAGCCCATACAGTAATACCTTGGTTTACGAGCATAATTAGTTCCGGAAGCATGCTTGTAATCCAAAGCGCTTGTATATCAAAGCGAATTTCCCCATAGGAAATAATGGAAATTCAGATGATTCGTTCCACAACCCAAAAATATTCATATAAAAATGATTACAATACTGTACTGTAATATAATAATGTATAAAATATAAAGAAAAATAAACCAATTACCGGTACCTTTTGTGGCCGGTGTGAGAGGGACAAGAGAGAGGAGGATTATTGCGTAGGACGACTTTCACTATCACTAACGGAATCCCTGCTATCCCTTGACTCAATGGAATCTTTTTCATTTCGTGAAACCTTAACAAGGAATCTATCCAATGTGACATTGCATTGTCGTTAAACAGACTCATCGCTCGCACTGCTACAGCCTTATTCAGGTGGTGCTTTTCTGCAGAATTTTGCTCTTATTGCAAGACATCGCTTGTATATCAAGGCAACATTTTTCAGAAATGTTTGCTTGTCTTGCAAAACGCTCTCAAACCAAGTTACTTGTAAACCAAGGTATTACTGTACAGGACATCAGTTTAGAGATATCCATGAATATTGTCTCTATAATTATTGCTCACACTACGGCCTGTAGGGCAATACCTACTCGTACATAGGCGCACCCAAGGCGTGTTTACATTAATATGTGAAATAAATGGCAAACACACTCATCAATTCATAACTTGGGCGGGGAACTTTAAAATGTTTTTATTTTATTTTTACATCTATTTTATTTAATTTAAATTTTTCAAACTTCACTTAAACTTAATTGACTATCAAATAAGAGGGCTTACAAGCCCCCTATGTGATAGCACGTTGGAGGTGACATTAGGTGACCCTTAGCCTCAATACAAAACACAAAAATTCCCCAGCCTCAACCTGCAACCAAACAAGTAGCCCTGTCAACAGTATGCGTTAAAATCAGAGGTTTTAGTTGCACAAACTTTTGGCCAAAAATATGTAGAAGCCACACTGCCGCGCCACGGCACCTCTGCAAAGTGTGGTCCTAACTCTATGTATCTGAGTCTCCAAGTGTGAGCATATTAATGAAGTCGATAGATTGCATGCAGGTGTACCTGGAGGTAGCCAACTCCTCCTAATAAGGTGCAGGGACGCACTGGGGGCCCAGCAACCAAAAATGCACGCTGGGACCCCAGTGCATCCCCCAAACCAAAAATAGTCAAACTAGAAAAAAGTGGTACATGCATGAATCTATAACCAGTCTTTATAGCAGGGAGCACATTGGGAAGGCTTACAACAATACAAAACACAAAAATTCCCCAGCCTCAACCTGCCAGCCAGCCTGCAACCAAACAAGTAGCCCTGTCAACAGTATGCGTTAAAATCAGAGGTTTTAGTTGCAAAAACTTTTGGCCAAAAATATGTAGAAGCCACACTGCCGCGCCACGGCACCTCTGCAAAGTGTGGTCCTAACGCTGGTTATAGATTCATGCATGTACCACTTTTTTCTAGACCCTTAGCCTCGCCTTTCCACTCCAAAAAAGCTATTGGAGTACAGATTGTTCAGAACACCATTCTGTGGGAGGGGGTGCAATTATTATGAGGGGTTACTACTTTCCCTGTTGGATTTTGTATTTATTTTGTATTTTGGGGAATATAATAGGGGGAGATGAAGCACACAAAACTCCTAGGTGGACAGGAACAGAGTTGAGAATTATGGCAGGAAGATCTCAGTGTTGGAGCACCTAAAACATATAAAGCATCTGAGGTTGACTCAGCCGACTAGGCTGCACTAGTAACTAAAGCTGGTCATACTGGTAGACTATTACACAAACGTTTATATGAAAAATCTCATCAAAATATTCGATGATGCGCTTCAGAGACTTGATGAATATTATTTGAAATTTTGTTTGATTTTACCATCCCATTTTAGAATGAATTCAGTTTCTCAAATGAGAATCACATACACCATTATAGTTTTGTTCATTTGAGAAAACATTTCCATCCTGCTCCTTCAATTTTTTTCAGCACTACGGTCAAAATCGATCATTGATTTAACCCCAAAAAACAAGCAAAAAAAACGAATGCATGTTTTCATAGCCAGCTTTAAACATCACTTTTGGGTGGACAGACCTTTTAACATTTTCTGCAAAGACACACAAAACATGCAGTATGCAGCTCCACAGAAATTCAAAAGTAAAATCAATAGACTTACATTCACACCCGTCTACGTTATAGCAACTTCGACTTTCTCTGCCTTCACCTTCACAAAACTGGTCGTCAGTATCTGCATTTTCACATATGCGTTTCCGGTGCTGCAGCGCTGCTTTTCGTCTACACTTGACCTCATCATTTGTCAGACGTTTGCATATTGACCATTCCTCCCAATTTCCCCATGCAGGCTCAACTAAAACGGAAGAAAGCAATATGGAAGTTTTGAATGCTAAAGAGAGGGGAGGTTAAATTCATGGACCACCAGGGAGGCAGGGACCTTTATCCTGGATCTTTTAAATCCTGATAGGGTCTTTTTTGAATTGAACAGATTGCCTCAACTGCCATTGTATCATGTGGCAAGCAATTTCAAGCGTTTTTATTAGGGTTGCACAGATACCAAGTACAGTACTCGGTGCAAGTACGAGTACATGTACCGATACTTTTGAGCTCCAAGACTACACTAGAGAAACATTCAAAAATTAGGAGGCAGCTGTCATTTGTAAGGAGCACACGGAGCTCCCGGGATTTGTACATCTCGGTTTTAATGTATGATTTTGTTTTTATAGATATAAATAAAGGGATGCACAGATACCAGTTTTGCGAGTATGAGTACTGGTACTTGCCAAGTACTTACAAGTACGAGTACTGATACATTTTTGTTTATTGTCATGTGACAGTTTTTCTAAAACAATACAGACTAATGATTTCAGGACAGCGGTGGAGTGCCAGAGCCAGGTCCCAGCTGCAAACGATGCAACCCTGGTAGTTCTCATGAAAATGCCAAGTATCTGCACTGGTACTCGAAAAGTATCTGTGCATCCCTAGTTTTTATATCAGGTCAGCTCCAGTGTTCCCACAAATCTCCAGGCATATTAGTATGCAAATATTGACCAGATTTCCAGGTTGAGGGCCTTGTCCCTCCCAACTCCAACTCCTGTTATTGGCTGGTGTGGCTGCCCATCATAGTGATAGGCCTGTATAAATGCTTAGGAGGCAGGGCCAATTTTTTTTCATCTTGGAGTCCTGGCACCCATGCACCATTGCCTATGACAGCAGGGTTAGAGGGGGCAGAAACAAAATGCCAGACTGCGATAACTCTTTCTTGATTTTATTTCCATCTTTTGGTGGTATGTATAGCTAAATAGTAGAGGTAAACATAGGGCAGATCTCATACTTCCTCCAATAGCACACCCTAGAATTTTAGCATTAGTCACATGACATGAGGGGCAGAACTTTTACAAAAGGGGCATCATTCAAATGCACCTGGGCTAGCATGTGGTCCAAATGAAACCGTGTGTGATGGAACATAGGTGTATTTTCCTTTTTTAGGGCTTAAAAAGCCTCCTCTGATCCCACATATTATGTTGCTATATATTAAGGATTTAGCGCCATAAATTAGTATTATAGGCCTCTCATTCCCAACATTCTTTATGATCCACTTTATCTCTTCACTTACTTATACATGCCTTCTTTGTATTGCAGATAGTTTGTCCTGTAGGAGATCCAACACAATATTTTCCTCCATGTTGAGGAGGTGGACTATCACAAGATCTCCTCCGCCTTTCCCGTCCTACACCACAGGTGACTGAGCAATCTGACTCCTTCTGCCATGCTCCCCATTGTCCATCAACTGCGGAAATAATATGCAGATCATGAGATGGAAGGGAATAAGCAGTTAAATGGGAATACACAGTAATAGACAGTACATGTCCGTAGTACAGACTCCCTAGGGAGCTACTGAGATGCTGGTTCCTTCTGTCATAAAGTGAGCTTTATTAAAGACAGAACAAAAGCCCTGCACAAAAAGATTTAAGGTAATACCGGTAGGACATAAACAAACAGACTTGGCAACATAGGTGTGCGCAGCCTAGGCACAGCAAACAAGGATTTCTTCTGGTGAAGCACACGTGCAGTTTATTTACACTATTTACAAGAAAATTTGAGCAAAACAAACAAAACATGAAAATTAATCCTTGCTTTTTGGTCACTTACTACACACACAGTATCCCTCACTACCAACCAGGTAAAACCCTATTTAATAAACTGCCACACAGGTCACTAGAAAGCTCCCCAGTCTACTCAGGCATGGTTCCAGTGTGTAGCAAATCACTGAGCAGTCTGGGAGTTCTTATAGAGGCCATAATGAGCCAGCTTACTTCAGCTGGGCTCATTACCTCTACCATTCCAGCACTCCCTCTAGTGGAAAAAAAATCTGCATACAACCTGAACCTGGGGCACACATATATGCCATTCTGGATACACCCAGGTGATTTCACCTGCCTGCTGTTATATATATATATATATATATACAGGGCTCGAAAAATGCACTCGTCCACTCGTCTGTGACGAGTGGACGCCAGTGCTAAACGAGTACCTTCCCGACCGGCTGTTGTAATTAAACGGCCGGCCGAGAGCTTTACATTCATTTTAACTCTCTCACGCCGCCCGCGGCGAACTGAGGAGCAGGAGAGCTGCCGCCGGCCAGTGGACTGCATTACCCAGCAGTCACCCTGGCGCAACGGAGGTGTGGCCGTGAGGAGACGGAAGGGGCTTCCGACGTCCAGAGAACACATGAGGTGTGAGGCGACAGAGATCCTGCATTCATGCTGACTGGTGAAATTTTTGACTGACTGGTGAGACACCGCCAAATTTTTCAAGCCCTATATATATATATATATATATATACACACACAAACATACACAGACCTGAGGCATCCCAGATCCCCATCTCTTTAACTGTCCCTTACCTCTTCCAGCAGGGGCACAGTCTACATGCTACCACGCAGCTTTCCCAGGCCCAAGATCGTGGGTGTTATGTGAGGAATGTAAGTGGCAAGTGCACTTTGTATCATTGAGCCGGTCACAGAGAGATCTTTGTGATCTCATCACTGGCACAGTGATAACAAAATGGCGCCTGCTGTTGTGGTTTTGCTGTTGCGCTCAGGGGATTAGGGTGTGTCCAGGCAAACCACCCTGCGCACGCCTATGCTCAGCAACAATTCGAGAAAAAAACAACTGTAATAACCTGGTACAGAAAAAGGTTAACTACTGTATATGCCTTAACCTTAACTCGAAGGGTCCGAACTATGCCACTTGCTAGTGGAGGGTTAAAGCACAGTCTGCCAGCCGTGGTGCCTGTAATCTTCTGACAGCACAACAGCAGCCTCTGTGTTGCTCCTTCCCCAAGCTCTCTTTATATATCCCTGGGTTCCACTGCAGCATTTAGCACGCAGTTTGTTACTCCTGGGGCCTCTTGGCAGCTCCCTGCCCCTGTCTGTACAGTGCACTGCAGCTCTCCACACTCCTGGCAGACTGTCCCTTCTGCTCAGCTTGCAGGTTCACAGTCTCTGCCTGCCCATCAAAGGTCCCAGGCCCTCCCAAATGAACAGTCCCTGTTTAGCCCTCTTCTCCTGCACGCCGGTCCCCTGAGCAGTCTGCTCTCCTCCGGGTCCAGTGGGTGGTGGTTAAAAGGTCCCAACTGACAATGCAAACATTTTATTTTTTATGCTCCCCTTGCCACACTGTCCAATAGCGGCGAGGGAGAGAGACACAGGCTGCCAAAATACCTGAGCGGTTCTGAATTAAAGAGACCGCCAGCCACGGCTACATCCTATTCATAAAAGGCCAATATTAAAAAGGTTAAAGCAAAATATATTTTATATAAGAGGTTTCCCCAGACTGCAATTAAGACCTGGCAGAGGTTCTTTCCCTGGCCTGCTGCAATGAAAACAGTTAGGCAACTGTAGTACTTATGTGGTTATATTATGCCATATTTATCAAAATGCGATTGCTAAAAGAGGGTTGCTACATTATTTCACCTTACAGGTGATGCAGTTAATAGTATAATGCCATTTGCTCAACATTTCAGCATGTTCCTTCCTGTCTTGACTTCCCAGCTGTCCCTTGCCATTAGAAGGGACATCACTGGTCACATGACAAAGCCACTAGAGGTGTAGGGAATCAATCCGTTCTGGCTGCAATCTGACTTGGATGGTAGAGTTTTACAGGTGCTTGGCTGTACCCATAAAACGTGAAAGTGAATTAGCCAAAGGGGATTCCTTTTTTATTTGAGGTCCGTTTGCATATAATTACATACAGTAATGCCTGGTAAGAAAGACTGCATCTCCTTATTTTATAAATTACATAATTATGCTGTTGTAATTACATTATTGATGTCATTACATTATGCCAAACTGTCAGTTAATAAAAATAGGTAATCCCAATTAGTTCTTCACTCTGTCTAGAGTTCAGAAAGTGAGGAGTTGGGTAGTTTGCCGTATCCTTTTATAGCCCTCAAGTGAACTGCTACCAGCTGCCAGTGTACCAGGTTCACAGTGTCAATTTCCTTTTTAGAAGAAGGTATTACAATATTCAGAACAAAGTGATCAAACCACAAATGAGATGATTTCTTTAATCAACGCCATCATTACTTTGCCCACCCTCAATACAGACGTGCAAAGGGCAACAATGAGGATGATAAAGGAGCATGATTCATGGCAATTATAGAATTCAGGCACAGTTTGCTTTGGGGTCATGCACACCTCCACGACATGGTCTTGAGAACCCCGGAGCCCTGTAAAAAACATGAGTGTTATGACACTAGTAGTTAGTTGCTCACCTGGACAGAAGGGAAGGGTGGTGCAATCTGTGAAGTCACGATTACTCCCTGGGCATGGATTTCCTTGGGGGAAGTTTGATGGAGATGGGTTGTCACACTGTCGAAAACGGGACTGGGTTGGGAATCTTCCAGAACCTTCTACTGTGCAAGTGGCGGAGCACTGGCCCCAGCCTCCCCAGTCACCCCATTGGCCATGAGCTGGTAAAAGAAAAACAATGTAATAAAAGATCCTAAAGCCATTATTACTCTTTATTATTATTATTTTCATCATCTATTTAAAGTATACCTTTTTGGTAAGTCAAACACAGACGTTCTTTACTGAGTGAAGTACATCAGGTCTGACCCTGGATACGTTGTTACTGTTGTCCTTGACCCCAGTGAGGATATCTACCTGCACCACCTCTGGTACCTTGACTGAGCTCAGAGCCTGTTCCACTGTCTACATTGCACTCTCCATATATTTCTATTGAGAATCCACAAGAGGACGGCAACACTGACACCACAAGTATTATATTGTCTCTAGCTAAAGCAATATATGGAAATTGCCATTGCAGATATCAGAGACACAGGACCCAGACAGATAGTTGGGAGCAAGATGTCAGGTCATATCGTCTGTTCATACTGAAGACTGATGTTCTTTACAGGCTTCTTGAGAGCTGAGTCCCATCATCAGCAAGCTCACACACAGAGAGGTTCTTAATTGTATCTATGAGAAGCTTACTTTACAGACAAGGACCCCAAGCATACACTGTAAGCGTTTTAGACTTTACCAGTGTGTAAGGCTGCTCTTGCCCACCTCATCCTGAAAAAAAGGCTGCTTGCCTAAGTGTCTTGTTAAATCCTCTGGCTTTAATACAAGTCATTGGTCTAGAACAAATATAGGGATCTGGAGCTCTAGCTTTACCGGCTGTATACTTGTTCTGAGTCAGTGCCTCAGGAGCTATTGATGCCAGAGAATCAGCATGAGAGCAAGGCAGACAGCATATTCAGAAGTTAGCAACGGCAGCCCAAAAGTCACACGTGCCACACTGATATCTCTAGTTTCTAGTTAGGTAACAGGCGCTATTTTGAAAAATAGTGGCCCACCGTCATTTTGTATCAGTTACAGATCGTAATGGGATTCTCTGTCCTCCCACGACAAGTTGTAACAAGATGTCACTGACTCCTAGCTGGAACACTGACTTTTATGATTTTTTTTTAATACATTTTTTTAATATATGATGTAGAATAAACCAAGTCCGTCATTTGTAGAGCCAAAGGAAATCTCTCCGCTCCAATTCCTTAGCCACCATCAGGACTCCCCAGGTGCTTGGTCCAATAGGTGCGTCTGCACCTTGGAATGTAGTAGTATACGAACAGACCAGCACTGTTTATGCTGTGATGATACAGAATGTTGAGTGAGTGGTTTCATCATAGGACAGAAAGTGCATTACTGGTATATTGATTGCTTTACTCTATGTCTAAGGAACAGTGGCTGCTGGTCCTGCATTGCACATGTCGGTGTGAAGCCAGGTGATACCACTGAAGATGAGGAGCCACAGTCCACTCTGGAAACAGGGGGAGGAAGCCTGCAGGGTTGCATTGTAAAATAAGTAATAAACTTATTATAGGCCTCTATGAATAAGTCTACGGGTGAAACATGTGAAAGTTTGCACTGCACACCCCCAACCAGCTACAACCTCTCACATGTTTCACCTGTAGGCTTATTCATAAACGTCTATGAATAAGCCTACGGGTGAAACATGTGAGAGGTTGTAGTTGGTTGGGGGTGCGCAGTGCTGACATTTGTTGCTTTATACACTTTTATTCATTGTTTTATTCATTGTTATACTGGATCTGCTGTGAATTTCAATAAAGTCTGAAGTATTGGAATTCTCTGGATAGTGCAGAGTTTATTACTTATTTTACAATGCAACCCTGCAGGCTTCCTCCCCCTGTTTCCAGAGTGGACTGTGGCTCCTCATCTGTTCGTATACTATTACAAGTCCGTCATTTGTTTTTATAAAATCATTTGAGGGGAACTTCTTCTGCTGGTGATATCTCACCTGTCGAATCCCAAAGAGACATATGAGGCCATAAAACTACAATAACAGTCTTGGATTGGGAACATGTGAAAGTTATACAAAAGCGTACACAGCAAAGTGTAATAAAAGACTAAAGTTACTTACTTGGGCAGATTTGTAAAGTGTCACACTTTTCAACCTCTTCAGCATTACCGCGACATGACCCTCCGCACAATGGAGAAGGATTGTTGCATTGCCGGTCGCGTTTCCTCTGTCCTTTTTCACAGGTCACGGAGCAGGCAGACCATGAGCTCCATTCTGACCAGCCTCCATTTCCTGTCAGTTAACAATATTCCATCATACCAAAATGTTAGTGAAACAGAGATGAGATTATAAAGGGCCTGTGACATCCTGAATGCACAATTTGTAAGCGCAAGCGGTGTCAGTGTCATTTCAGAAATCAGTAAGGAGTATGTTTTTTTTTGTAGCATGAAATCCTTGGAGTCAACTAGTCTAAACACAAAATGAACAAGTTGCAGGTAATCTTATATTTTTTCTGTATTATTTTCTCAAAGGACTGCAATGCCTCTTCCTTATTGCCATTTCCTTGGAATCTGTTTTTCGTTATTACCGGCAGCAAAGTGAACAAGATGTGAGTCCGTTGTGCAGAGGAGTCCATGAGTGGAGAGCTGAATACATCTCTTACAATTACCTGTGAGTGAACCTGTGCCCATACTTTTCACATTAAAGTAATATATTCTGCACAAGCAAGTAAAGGCACTTTAAAGCAAGCCCTCATTCACCGATGTAACTATAGGCATTGTGGAGAAACTCATCTTCAAAGTTCACAATAGATTAAAAACTAAAATTACAGCTTCCTTACCTTTTACTTTCTAGTGCAAGAAAAACTTGGCAGACTGCCAACTGTCCAATATAAATAAATAGCAGATGTTCCTAAAGCTGGCCATACACTGCTTGAATATCAGCAGGACGTGGCCAAAAATCAAGCAGTGTGTTGCCCTGTTGGCACACCTCTGTTTGAACAAATTCAATTTTTCAACTGACTTTTGTTGAGGGAGCCAGTCTGAAAGTTCTCGATCAACCAGCTGCAGTCACTGTTGGGGTAGTTAGACAGTGTCACACCCCTTGCTATCAAAATACAATAGCCTGATGGGGGGCTAATCCATTCAGGATGTTAGGGTGGATGGGGGAATCCAGTGTTCTCCTTGTTCAGCCCGTGGGGCTGAACAAGAAAAAATGATAGGTGAATTGCCAGCTTAAGCTGCTACAAACAACTGAAACGGCCTTTAGAATCTTTTGTGTGATATTTGAGAATGAATTGCTTCACAGCACAAGCAGCTAGAGAGGCCAGGGGTGACTTGTTTTAAAGATCTTGCACTGATTGTTAAGGATATATAAATACTTTAAAGTCTATAGTCTGTGCACAGGTTCACTGTAACCCTTGCCAGTGGGGCATCCATCATATATCCATGCTGTTCAGGCAGAGTCAACGTTTGGCCAAGTGTTTCTGATAGTAAGCCCCCAAACCCCTTTATTATTGGTCTAGTAACCAGCGTCTGCAGGATAGGTATATCATCATTCATGAGTTTTATCAGGGCATGTTTACCATGAGATTTGGGGGTTGTTATCTGAGTAGTCTGTAGGTTTTTTTTCAAAGCCCAACTCCAGCCACACATTTTTTTGTTTGTTTTGTGCAGAGTGGAGAAGGTTTAAAACCTCTGCCAATTTTATAATGCTGTTTGTGCCCCTTTGGGAAGATTTTCTTTCCCTTCCTGTCCCGATGACAGTAGCCACCAGGACAAGAAGTGAGGATGAATCTCCCAAGGAGGACGCAATAAGCCGTAAAGCCTGACTGAGATTCTAAAGCTGACCATACACCATGCAATCTGATTGTACAATCTTCTTTAGATCTACCATCAATCGTGTAGTGGAAGGGTCTGCCCGATTGGCTAGTGAAGAAGATTGTTCAGAGATTGCACAGATTGTCAGATTATATAGTGCCAGATGTACTCTTCCTCACGTTATCCAGAACTAAAAATAGTCGTTCTACTAACAAGTTGAATGCAATGAACTCATCTGCACTTATGTTGCGCCTGCAGTCTTTATTTGGTCATACTCACGAGGACAGCAGTCACGCAGCGAGCAGACACGGACCTCCAACTTGTGCCCTTCACAATCGCCCTGACCTACGCAGATCCTCGTTCTCTGATGAACCCCTTCCAGACAGGAAACAGTACATGGGCTCCATTCACCCCACAAGGACCACTCTGCTGGACTGGGAGAGACAGTCATATTATAAACATGCGGTTGGCACAATGTGGATCATCCATAAACAAATAAAAAGGCTAAGAGGCTAATCAGGTAACATCTGCTTGATCATTATCGGCTACACAAACATTTTAGGTTACTATAAGCTAGTCAGACCCTTTTCTGCACATATTTTTTTAATTTCTGGAGCCAGTGACATGACCAGTGTTATTAGACCCAGGGAAGATTGAACAAACATTGAAAAATCTCACTTTTTCAGTGGTATGTATACACAGATCAGCCATAGCATTATGACCACCCATCTAATATTGAGTAGTACCCCCTTTTGCTGGCAAAACAGCCCTGATCCTTCAAGGCATGGACTCCAATAGACATCTGAAGGTATGCTGTGGTATCTGGCACCAAGCCATCAGCAGCAGATCCTTTAAATCCTGTAAATTACAAGATGGGGCCTCCATGGATCTGACTTGTTTTTCCATCATATCCCACAGATGCTCGATTGGATTTAGATCTGGAGAATTTGGAGGCCAAGTTAATACCTCAAACTTGTCGTGTTCCTCAAACCATTCTTGAACCATTTTTGCAGTGTTGCAATATCCTACTGAAAGAGGCCACTGCCATCAGGGAATACTGTTTCCATGAAGGGATGTACTTGGTCAGCAATAATATTTAGGTAGGTGGTACATGTCAAAGTAACATCCACATGAATGGCAGGACCCAAGGTTTCCCAGCAGAACATTGCCCAAAGCATTACACTGCCTCCGCTGGCTTGCCTTCTTACCATAGTGCATCCTGGTGCCATTTCTTTCCCAGGTAAGCAACACACATGCACACAGCCATCCACATGATATAAAAGAAAACGTGGTTTATCAGACCATGATACCAGAGAGAGGCAGTGGGAAAACATACACTTCTGGGTCCATTTATAAGTCTTCTATCTAGCTATAAGCTGGATGAATGCCATTCACATTCCCACCACTAGAAGGAGCTGAGGAGCAAAGAAAATTCCTCTGCTCCTCAGCCCCATCTAGTTGTGGGAATGCTGTGCCAATGGCTTTCACCCAGCATATGGCTGAGTAGAAGACTTATAAGTAGACCCCTCTATGTTTTCTATCGTTCAGCCCTTGTTCAACAACATGGATGGGGAGCAGTCAGAATGCACGAACAATGACTGCAGCCTTAAAAAAAAAAACTTTTGTTGAACGGAGTGGTGCCATCAGGCCACACACTGCTGGAATTTTGGCTGAGCCCTGCTGATTTGAAGAGTGTTGGGCAGCTAGAGTTTTTAGACAACTTTTGTCTTTCACTCCACTTACCGGCAGGCTTGGCATGGCGACTGAGCATCCCGCTTAAAGCCGTATTTAACATTCAGACAGCAATCCAGTTCAGACACACCATCTCCGAGCAAATCCTCACATTCACCGGTCACTTCGTTAACCTCGGTATAGCACAGGACATCATCTGACCCTACCAAACAGAAAAACACATGTGCCTCATTCAATAGTACAATAATCACTTACAATGTGCAATAAACCAAAGAAACCAGCTTGCTGGAGTAAGGTCAGCCAAAGATGAAGGCTCATTGAATGAAGTTTGTAAACTCCTCTAGGGCAGGGACTGATGTGAATGTACAGTATGAAAAGTGATGCATAACATTGTCTGTGCTATATACAGTAAATTAATAAATCTGGATTACTTAGTGGTCTATTAAATAACCCCAAAGGTATTGCTTACAAACTGTTACAGGACAACTATCACACATTTTCTCATGCCATAATGACACATGTAAGTAAGGTTTTTATCAACTGTAGTGTATATCACAATAAAAAAAAAAAAAATATGATACAAAAGTGCAACAATTTCTCAAGCCCAATAATAATATACAAACATACACATGTTTTTCTCATTTTATCTTTAAACACTGGAAGTAAATTGATAGTCTGTTACAATTTAACCCATATGTTTCCCACACTTCTTCTCTTGTCTTGCATTAAGCACATCAGGATGAATGTCATCACAGTCCACTCTTCATTTGTGAAATTTTAACACATCCCATTAACCCTTTATCCAATTAGACAAAACCTACAGGAATAAATGCAGATCCAAATCTACATTTAGTCCCCTAGGTTGGAATGTATTCAGTTGAAAAATAAATTTTACTTCTCTGAAATATAGTTTTTATAGGTCTATTAGATCAGTAGTCGCCAACTGGTGGTCCGTGGATCACTGGTGGTCTACGAGAACATTTTGGTGGTCCCCGGGCTCCTCTGATGCCGTGCAGGCTGGGCCATCATTGAAGCATCACGGAGGCTCCAGGTCTGCCTCTCACTGACTCAAGTAGCGGCTGTCACAAGGAATGCGCGGCTCTCAGTACAGTGCGGGCTCTGCAGGAGGAGGGGCATCTTATCAGTACCCGGACTGAGCAGGCTGCGGGACATAGAAAAAGTGGGCAGAAGCCAGGTAATAGTGGCTCAGTGTGGGGAAAGGGGAAGCACGGGGTCGTTGGGGTCAGTGCTGTAGCTAGGGAGGGGCATGTGCCCCGGGCGCTGCCGGCAAGGCCAGTGGCAGATTGGATAGGACGGGAAACAATAATATTATTACTGGGCCAGGCTGGGCAGCACCGCTCCCTCCCTCCACCAGCACTGCCACTCCTACAGGCACACCCGCACCTATGTATGTATGTGTATATATACTGTATGTATATATAGATATATTCTCATATTTTTTGTTTCCTCTATGTACAAAAACGACGATTGCGCTACACATGTTGGGTATCGCCACACATGCCAGAGTGAGGGCAATAATTCTAGGGCCAATAATTATGTGTATATCTAAACTGATGACCTGTAGGGACTTTTAAAGGGTCGTGTATAGACTTTGTGCGGTACTGAAGATTTGCGCAGTTTCACGGACGCACACAATTTTTAACCTGGGCATGTTGGGTATCCATTTACTCGTTGTAACCTCATCTTTTATATTGTATTACAAAAAAGATTTTATATAGTGTTTTGGGGCACTAAATGTAACTTAAGTGCATTTTTCACTACATGTTTGGGTTTGATAATAAGTTGCGCTATTGTCCTGAAACATAAAGATTTGCTACTGCCGCCCTTTTATTCTATAGGGTCTTGGCTTTCAGAAAATATATAATGTTAGGGGGTTTTAAGTAATTTTCAGGCCTAAAATGTGGATTATAACAGGTAAACAAAAAATGAAAAAAAGGCCTTTGTCCTTAAGGGGTTAAAGTCCTTGCAATGTACCTTGGTCACTCAGAGGGGACTGTTTTTATTTTTTTCTCAACAAAAGCAGAGTTACACACTCAAGGTGAAACCTGGAGATCCTGCATAGAGGAAGTGGAGCATAAATATACAAAGCAATAACAAACAGCACTTCTTCTCTTAACCAAGAACTGAAAAAAGCTTTGCCTTCAAAGGTATACCCACCCTAGAGATGCATAGAGGAACGCAGCCTATTATCTTAGTAATTCAATTTTTCTTCCTGCCATTGCTATAGTGCACCCGTCCACCCCATTTCCATGGTTGGTAATCTGGGAACCCCTGCTTACATTGGAAAGGAATTCCCAAGCACACCCACTGTAGGTTCCCTTGATGTGTCATTGCAGAAATCATTATAGTTTCCATTCAAAAGCATAGCACCACCTTTTCTTCAAATTTGATGTCGTAAATTAAGGCACTAAACCTTCTTTTGCATACAGCGTTCCTTATTTCCATATGCCTGTGCAGCCTCTTGAGGTATCCAATATTCTCACTCAGAATATGAAAGTCTTGATTGTTGCCATCATTAGCCCACTCACCACAGCTATTAGGAGAGGCTTTCACACTTTTTATTGGATTTATTCATTGACATTACAGAGGGTGTAGTTGGGGGGTGAGACTCCCTTATAATAGCCTTAGTGGAGAGGGGGGCGGAGCTGGGAATGTCTTTGGGCAGATCTTAGCACTGAAGTTCCCATACAACAGCCAGGGAGTCAATTTAACCCACTAATGTCCGCTGATGGCTGAAATTTCGGTTCTAAGTGGACTTACCTGATAAAATGATAGTAGTGCAGTAATAATAATAAACTGTGTTTCCTGTGGGATAAGCTGACCTGCCTTAGATCACTGGTAAAAACTTCCTTATACAACAGTGAAAAGATTTTGCAACTATTTGGCAGTGAGCGTGCTTGCGAGGTAACCTAGCCCTAAACGCTCACTTTCACATAATGCAGCCTTTGTTTACTCGTTAGGGTTGTTATGCAAAATCACTCCAACTGACCATTTTTTATGGTTATTCCATTCAGAACTGGTATTACTATACTGGATGAAGGAGGGCAGATTGCATTAACTCTAAACTCCAGGCAGAAAAACATTTCTTTGGATATACAGTATTTTATCAATCGCCAGTAAGGATATACATCCACTTTGTCTGCACAAAATGCCTTTGCAAACCCCAAAAATACATTGTAAAAGTTGCAGCGGGATCATCACTGTGCTGTATATTGGCCATGCAGAGAGCACAGCTATGGGAGGGCCCCAGCAGGTCCCACCCACTACAGGCTGCCTGTAGTAAACTACAGAAGGGGGCGGATACAAGACCAGTTGCCCTGCATAAGGAAAGAGAGCAGCAGTGACCAGTCCTTATTACAGGAAGCACCTGCCCATGGTAAAGTTACTGCACAGATCTGGAAGAAATACACAAAGCTCACCAAGATTCAAGTAAGTATACTCATGTCTCTTGTATAAAGACAATATTTGCATTTCCAGAGTTCACCTTAAAGCAGTGGCTTCTTATAGATCTGGAGGACTCTGCATGTGAGTTCCCAGCTCCTCCCACCTGCCAGGGCTACTACAAGTGCCACAGACAGATAATAAAGCAGGAAAAGGAAGATTACTTTGCTTGGCTTCAGAATGACCAACCCAACGGGGCTGGCCAAAACATTTTTCACACTTTTGACATTTTTGGGCAAAGTGAGAAAGGGATACAATTCATGTCAGGCTTTTACACTGAATAGATTTACTCTCACTGCCCAAAAGGATAGGAAGTGGTTGCAAATTTCTCCAGTGGGGACACATACTACCAAAAACACTGCTGTAAATGCTAGCTGCCTGGCTGACTCTAGCTTCAACTACTATCTGTAACAATCATGTAGACTGGAGAAATCAGAGTGAGGTCTGAACGTCTGATCTATTGAAGGTCAGTGTCTGAGAAAGTACGGAAGCCCTTAAATTAGTATTTTCAGATGGAAAAGCCAGCATTGGCAGCATTTATTTTTAAAGGATGTGCAGGGATATTAGAACCAACATAAACATATGTGCTTGTTGTAAACCATGCACCACTTTCTGGTCACATGACCTAATGCCATGGTAGCCTGATGTCCTGGGGAGCTGATAGCAGCAACGTTTTAAGCCAAAGGAGATAAAAGCGCTTCTGGCACTGGCACCCATAATGTATCGCTACTTAAAGTCATATGGCCTCTTTAGCATTTTAGGTTGTATCCTTCGATAATACATGTCAATAAATAAATGTAATAACTGTAATACTAATACTTACTCTACAAATACATGCAGGCTTTTGGTCATGTGACCAGGAGCCGGATATATGAATATGATAATTAAATTACAGTTAGTGGTCATTGACCCTGAAGCCCTGTTCACACCTTGGCGTTCCAGGAATGTCCGTCGTGCACATTCTTGCCACCATTGTTGCGCATCAGCCCATTAATTTCAATGGGCTGCCCACACATGACTTTTGTCATGCAAATTCTCATGCAAATTCTGCTGCAAGTGTACCATGTTTTTTGCCCACGCATTTTGACAGCTGTGTTCTGCATTTTGTGTGCCAAACGTTACTTGCGGGATGTCATCAACATTACTTGTTAATGGAACCCCACAAGTAACATTTGGCGCACCTTCATTCAAAGGTGTGAACGGGGACTTCATTTTTCATTTGCTGCGGGGGGTTTTTAAAAGCATTTTTCTATTAAAACACCGTAACGTTCATTCCTATGGAAGATCCCACAAGTGTGAACCGTGACTTACAATGCAAAGTTACAGGGCTACATTTTTTTTATTGTGCATTATACTCCATGACCTCAAATGATTTAAACCATTTTTTTGCTTTAGTGTGCGCCATTTCTAAATGCCTATTGGTAGATGGATCAAAATCCTATTAAGAATTTATTGCTGTAGCAAGTGTCACAAAAAAAACCTCACATTGCTCAGATCAGAGTCCAATGACAAAGATTGCAACACAGTTAGGAAGAATTGTTTTTTTGTGTCAAAAGGGGACATTGGCCAAGTTCCTTATCAGCATTCAACAAGTATGTGTAAAGCAACACAAGTCCAAGGCTGTGCTGCTCCACTACAATGTCATATTCATCGCTGCATGACGGAATAAATGTCAGTCAAAGTACCGCAGCGCTGAATACTGAAAAATGGCCTGGATGGGAAGGGGGTTTAACACCGCGG